ATTAATTAAACAAAACAAAACAGGGTCCAGGTGTGGTGACACACACCTGTAATCTCAGCACTCAGGAGGCAGAGGCAGGCAGATCTAGTTTGAGGCCAGCCTGGTCTACAAAGCTAGTCCAGGACAGCCAAGGCTACACAGGAAAACCCTGTCTTGAAAAAGCAAAACTAAAAACAAACAAACAAAAAACAACCAAAACCCCAAAAACAGGGGCTGCAGAGATGGCTTAGCGGTTAACTGCACATTCCCAGCACCCACATGGCAGCTCACAACTGTCTGTAATTCCAGTTTCAGGGGATCCAACAGCCTCACACAGACATGGAAGCAAAACACCAATGCACATTAAAATAAAAATATATAAACCATAAAAAGGATAAACACATATTTAAAAAACCCAAACTCGGAATGAAGAATTTACATGATTGACCAGAGTTCTCCCAAGAGCCAGAATTCAACCCCAAGTCTCTGCTGTTCTACAACTTCCCCTCCGGTCTGGGTTGCCTTCTAGAGTGAGGACATGGGCAGTCCCACCCAGAGGATATCTTCAACCTGGGTGCTGCAGTTCACTTGCATAAAGGAGCTTTCAAAGGAGAAAGTACTGTTCTGCTTCCTGCCCTGTCTAGTCTAGCTGGTGACAAAGGTACACAGGAGAGGCATGAAGAGATCACATCAGCACCCGTGAGTGCAAAGAAAGGATTTCCAAGTCAAGATGCCCCAAACACTGAACAACTGAGCGCTGAGTGAAAAGCTAGGAACGGCACTAGACAGCAGGTGAAGACCTGGACTTCCCTGATGATGACGGCGATGACGATTGATTCTGCTACCTGGATCCTGTGGGATGTTGGGCAAAACTCCTAACCCTCCATACCTAAGGGAGTAAGTGTTCCCAAGGAGTTGAAAGCTCCCTGCTCAGTTCCATGCGTCCGAGATGTCAGGGAGTACAGTTAGACAGGAAAGGAGTCATGGAGGAAGGACGTGCCGAAGAGAACCTTTGAGAGAGTCAGAGGCAGTGGCTCAGGGCAACAGGAAGTCCCTCAAATTGCAAAAGGTCAGGTTTGGTACAACCTACCATAAAGGGGTCCTGCAGGTTCTCTGGGTTTCTGACTGTCTAGGATGAACATGACTTTAGCTAGAGGCAGGAATTTCTGTGCTAGAAGCCATGAGTTTTGGGGTTCAGGGGCCTCATCACTGCCCTTGTCTCTATCCTTGGCTGTGGCCTCTTCTTGCACTATCAGGATGGGCCAGCAGTCAATACCTCTTGGAGGACACAGCCATGGAGGTAAAGGCGTTTGACCCGCATTTAAGCTCCTCAGAGATTATGGGGTTCCCTTCCTTCCTAAGCCCTATTTGCTCCCCTCCCCGTTCTCCTTCTAGTGCCTTGGAAATGTGTGCAAGCCAGCGAACAGCACATGGTGTTAACCTGCATGCCAGAGCCTCAGTGTAACCGCTCCCTGGGTCACTGTGGCCTTGGACACAGTCAAGGACCCTCAGGACAATACACTGTATCTGATAACTCCCCTGGGGCCTGGGGCCTCCAGATTCCAGAGCTCTTCCCTTTGAGACATTCAGATCCCCCAAGTCAGGGGTCAGCCATGTTTTCTAGAAAAGGAGAGACAGTATTTTAGGTTCTGTGGGCCACAGGGCTCTGCTGAAACCTTTCAGTGCTATGGCCGGAACACCCAGGAGTGTAGACAGTTGCACCCCAAACCAACTCAGCTATGGACATTGAACTTGGACATTTTCCACGTGTTACAAAGTATTATCCCTTTGATTTCCCCATCCAACCCTTTAAAAGTCTAGAAACAGTTCCTACAAAAACAAGTAGTGGCTACAGGTGGTTTCTAGGTGACAGTTTAATAATGCCAAAGTACTTACAAGCTTTTGCAGCCAAACTTAGATGGTCCCAGCCCATGGTTTCTCCTCCAGTCAGGCAGTTTGGACTCATCTCCCAGAATGACAAAAGCCTTAAGATCCCCCCAACAGTGGCCCTGCCATTTTGGCTTCACCTGCTCTTCAGCAGTAGCTGGACTAGAGGGGACTGGAGAGAAACTCTCTCTCCCCCATCCACCCAGTGTCAGTGGCAAGGACGTTCTCTTCTGGCTACAAACCAGGTCCAGTATATTTCCATCCGTCCTCTCTCCCAGCTACGTTCATCCAGGCTTTGCCAAGACACCCAGGCATCTACCGGCTGGGGCAAGCCTCCTCATTACTTTTCCACTTTACTCTCAATCCTGACGTTGTCAGAGTTCCAGGGACAGGCTCTTCTTTACCAAGGGAGACTTCAATGAGGCCAGCTGGAGGTGAGGGTCTGGAGCAGAAGGGTGGAAAGCTGGCCTTGAGGTAGGGAGAGGGCAGGGGTCAAAGGAGGGGAGAGAAGAGAGGTGGGCAGGAGAAACAGACTGCAGAAGGATGATGAATTCATGGTCATCCTCAGCTACATAAGGAGTTGGAGGCTAGCCTGGGACACATAAGGCCTTGTCTCAACCCAAACTAAGCCAGAGCTAGAGCCTTGGCCCCCAGCTCTCCCTTCTAATTCAGCTCCACGAGCTCTGTTCCTTCTTCCATTTGTTCGACAAACACGGATTCCCGTAAGAACCAGATATACTTGGCTTGGGCAAAGGGCAAGAAGAGGGAGGGTATCCTGGCTTAACAGATGGTAGGGGAGAGGATATGCATATATATGTATACAAACATGCACGTAGAACTGCACGGCAGGGCGAATGCCAAGTGCCTCACAAGAATGTGCATGACATTGCTCAGGCTGGGGAGAGGCAGTGGGAATAGGAGACGGGACCATGGGCAAAAGTGTTGCTCACGAGAAGCAATGGAACCAAGACTTAAATGTCCTGTGGGGTGTTGGGGGAGGGCAGGCTGCTCAATATGACTATGAAAAGAAGTATAACACAGGCATGGGGTGAGGGGGTGGGGGCAGACAAGGGTAAGGATCAGTGCTTGCAAGGGAGGTGCTAGTGACAGCCTCCTTCTTACCCAGGTTACTTCCCACAGAGCTGGTGGCTTTACCCAAAATTAATGGCAGATGGCAAAGGTCATGCCGAGGTCCTAACCACACAGCTCTGCCTGCTGTTGCCTCGAGGCCCTGTAAGAATAGCATGGCATTTGCACACTGGGCATGGTGGCACATCATGCCTGGAACCCTAGCACTCAGGATGGAGAAAGGAGAATCAGGAGATGCAGGCTAGCCTGTGCTACCTGGGAGCAACAGACGAAGTTTAAAAAACAAATACACAAATGTCATTTGCTAATCGGCACTTGACCAACAGCCCATCTTCTTTCTCACTTTTCAGAGAAGCCCACGCAGGGATGACTACAACCCTGCCCCAAATACCACAAACCTTTCAGGTTCTTAGAAGCGAGAAAAATGGCAAGGCTTTGAGGTTTTCGTTCCCTTCCGTGTCCAGGGTCCACTGTCTTAGCATGCGAGACTTTAAGCCTGAACAAGGAAACTATTCATCCTCCATGGCGCCACCGGGGAGGAAGCCACTTCCTGTTCTCTCCCTTCCTGATGAGACCAGGACAGGACATGGCTCTCCATCCCAGGCTGGGAGAAGAGAGTTGATAAAGGCCCATTGTGATAGACTCACAAACCTAGAGGCCATCAGGGGCTAAGAAGCCACTTAACAGCTCTTGAACATTTGTGAAAAGAATTATTCTGTGGAAGTGAAGGCGGAGAGAGGCCCCAAGGTTACCACAGGGATGCACCTCTGCCATCCGCCACTGGGCAGCTAACAGCAAAGCCAGCAGGGGACCGGCCTGCCTGCCACCCCACGGGCTGACCTGAGGCAGGAGAGATCCAGTCACCACCAACAAGCAGCTTTACAGTTCGGGGCTCCTGGACACCTGGAAATGAAACCCAATCTCCTGCCAAATGCAGGAAGCACCAGGGTCCTTAAAAGGGCCTGAGGGAGAGAGGAGCCTCCTGCCTCCTCCTCCCAAGGGTGTCTGAAGTAATAAATGGCAGGAAAAGAGGAAGGCTGCAGAGTGGATGTTGGTCTGGAACTTATTAGAAATTAGGCTCTTTCTGCTGCAGTCTTCAGTGTGCTTGGGCCAGGCACCTCATCATTCGCAGGCCTCCCCAGGCTTATAAGCAAATGCACAGCCCAGGAGAGATAGGAGGCCTGACACTACAAGGGACACCCAGGCAAGCGGGGATATGGGAGTGTTGGTATTAGCTTTGAGGGCCGGGAGCCTATCACTTTCTGTCGTTATTCCTTGGGAGGCGAGAGACCAGATTCTGTATAGGCCCAGGGAAAGGTCTATGAGTAGCGCCAGGAAACTCCATCCTTCAGCTCCACCACAAATCTGTCTAGCCTGGCCCTGTGGGAGAGGAATCGCGCGGTCCAGGTTAGACAGGGGCTTGGAGCCATCCTGAGGGGCCCTCAGTAGGGCCAGGTGATGAGAGGAGAAAAAGTGTTTCTGCCTTGCTCCTAAAAATATGGGGTAGGTACTGTTCGTTTGTCAGTCCTAGGTCAGCGCTCTCTCCATGATCTAAATGCATGCATTTGGTATCCTTCAGGTGCCAAGACACTGTCAACCCCACCAGCCAAAGCAGAGCAGAGTATAAGCTCACCACGGAGAAATTCAGGCCACCTGATGTCTAGAAGTAGAGGACAGGAGGGGTCTGGGACTAGATCTGGTACCAACTGCATCCATCCTGCCAGGGCAGCACTGACCAGAGTTGGTGGGCAGAGCAACCCTGTTTGTAGTGATACTAAACAGAAGAAAATTAACCTCTTCCCCTGCCTCACCTCCTATGAATGCATTTCATGACAAACTCACCCAGGGCTTGGTACCAAGGTTCACTTCAGGATGGGGTATGATCCACCACACACACTAGGGCATTTTCTAAAACCAAAGTATTTTCTGCCTTGCCGGATCTTCCTCCCCATCTGGCGATGCAAACACATACACAAAACTGCTGGGACGCTCTGTTCTGATCCTCTCGATCCCCACAAATTGAAAACAAACCCTGAAGGCAGCTGGAAGGTCTGGGTGTCGTTTATTGACAGCAGCTTACACTGTGTTTTCTTCCCTTGATTGCTTCCTTCGGAGCACTGGCCCACAGGCCTTGGGAGGGAAGGGCAAGCTTCGAGAGAGGGAGCGGGAAGGCAGCCACACCGTCCTTGGCAGGTATGCTTGGCCGGGCAGGATGCAATCCTTCAAGTTGGAATCCCATTGGGTATTTAAGAGGACCAATGGTGGGGGGTGGAGAGGAAGTCTTCAAACAGGACTCACATCTCAGTCCAGGCCTCTTGCACTATCCAAGTCCATCCCAGGTTTAGGACTCTGGTGGGGGCAGCGGTTAGGCCCACCCACCTGGATGGGCAGATTCTTCACTCCGTGCCCTGGTTCGCACACATCTGCTTTCGCTGGCCATAATTGGAGGGAAAGGGCCTTACGGTTAAGATAGAGCACTTCCTCTGGCCCTCCCCAGCTGCGTCTGTGCAGATTCAAATGGCTGGAAAAATTGAGGGCTTGCCTTTTTGGTTCAAGTGTGTGTGCCACTGTCCTTAAATCTTCAAAATGCAACAGGATATAGGTCTTTCAGGCTGCCCACTGTGCTCCCATCCATCACACACTGCCCTGCCCTTCTTCTGCCAACTGCCAGTGCCTAGGGTGGAAGGCAAGCAGGTTCCAAAAGGCTCAAAGCCAGTTTGCATAGGCACTTGGCAACTTTGGATAGGAAAGTGGGTTAAAAAAAAAAGAAAAAGTGGAACAATAAAAGCTTCATTTTATAATCAGAGATCTGAAGTGATTTTACTTTTATTTCCTTCACTTTAAGCCAATCATGAAATTTCACAGTGATTTCTGGGGTGGGGCAGAACGATGGAGGCCGTGGCCTGGTTGGTCTGGTCATGGAGTAGGAGGCCTCACTGTGGAAGCTGGAGGAGTACGGACTGGCCCGCTGGCAGGTAGGTGATGTTGCGAGAGCGGGAGAGCTGGTAGGCAATGTCCTCAGCAGCTTCCAGCTTGCGCAGCTCAATCAGGCCATCACCTGCTGTGGCCAGTGAGTTGGCGATCAGCTCAGCTGCCTTGGAGTCACCTTCAGCAGAGATGATGGCTGCCTTCTTCTGCTGCTCAGCCTATAGGAGAGGAGGTACAGAGACTGGGATTGCACCATAGCATTGCACATCAGGCTACGGCCTAACCAGAACCAAGCCATGCACCCTCACAGGGCCCTTAAGGCACTCGGGGAGCATCCTTCCCTTACGATGTAGTTAATACTGCCCACCCAAACTTCCTCATTCCCTGCATGTCCACTTGTCATTCTAGGACATGCGTCTCTTGGCTGTATAGACACGGCCATTTGTACTCTGATCCAAAGCCACAAAAAATAAAAAAGGAATCAAATCAATCTTTAGGCCTATCTTTCCCTCCCTGCCAAGTCAAAATGATCTCCATGAAAGCCTGGACATCCAGGTGTGGTGCTAACTGTAATCTTAGCATTAACATAGTGGCAGCAGACAGGAGGATCACTGCAAGTTTGAGGCCAGCCTGGTTTACACAGGAAATTTTAGGTCAACCAGGACTACAAACAAACAAACAAACAAACAAACAAACAAACAACCCCCTCTCCCCTAAAAATACCCTAGCAGAGTTGGGCTGGGTATAGCTCAGTGACAGCACTCTCCTAGGGGTTGATCCCTAGCACCACAAAAAAACCAAATCGTGCGCCCAAAGAGCTGCGAAAAGCAGTCTGCTCCCACGACTCTTAATTGCCTGTGGAAAACAGGGCCCCCCAACATGTACCCAAGGATGTCCTTGGTTCACCCTACCAAGACCAACAGGACTGCACCTACTGGGATATGTGGCTTTCAGAGTGTGGGAAGAGTGTGGTGCCAGGACTCTGAGATCAACACAGTTTTCCCTCCTGCCCCTCACTGTGGCACTGGACAGAATCGGGCATCTAGCATGTGCTGGGTAAGCACCCCGCCACCAAGTTACCTCTTTAACACACACCCAGTTTGTTCAACAGATGTTTATCATGCACCAACATCACCAGGCAGTGCTGGACCTGTCACAGCCCTGGAGCACAGCAGACACAAAAGGAGACACCCCTGCCCACGCGGGGCTTAGGCTCCCTCAACTTACCTACTTTTCGATTTAAGAGCTAAACATCCTTAGATTAGAAAAACTAGCAGTGGAGAGTGGCAGAGAGCAAACAGCCTTTACATACACCAGGAAGAACACGATACTATACAAATACATTGTGTTCTATCACTCTCTGAAACATCTGGATGGACTCAGCAACAGAAGGAAAAAAAACAGCACATCTGGCATATTTGATCTTTTTTGCTGTCAGTTTCACTATGTAACCACGCGTAAAAATGACTCCTTGAAGAAGCGGAAGACATTCCAGGAGTAACATTTTTATGTGTAGGAGAGGGTTTCTGATCTTGGGCAAGTAGAAACTAAGTGACCCTTCAGTGATTTAGGAGCCAAAACTCATGACAGCTCCCAAAGACTCTGGAACTGATTTTAGGAGTAAGGTTCCCTCAGCCCTCGTTGGTTATCCCAGACAGATGACAGATGACCAGTTGCTAGGCCACCCAGCAGATGGGGAAGCTGAACACAGGAGAAGGGAAGGGCCGCTCCTGCCATCTGGTTGAACGCTCACCTTTTCCACCACAAATCTGGCCCTCTCCGCTTCCTGCTGAGCCACCTGTTTGGCTTCCACTGCTTCTGTGAACTCCTTCCCAAAGGTCAGATGTGTCTATGGGGAGAAAGTGAGTACAGGATGAGGCAGTAATTGCTTCGACAGCATTGCTGGAAGGCCACCCCGGCCACTGGAAGGAAGAGGCCAGGAATGGCTCTAGCAGCAGCTGCAGGCACGGAGATGCCCTTGTATCTTGATTCCCTCATTCACACCTCTGTATTCTTAGCTGCTAACACTGTGCTTACACAGACCCACACTGTGGTCAGTCATCCCATGAGGAAAATGTCCCCCGGGGCTTTGATGGGGCCCACAGACACTGAGAGGGATCTAATCAATCAATCAACCCCCTAGAGGAGACCTGTGGGTTCCAGGACCCCCACCACTGACTATGGCTCTTCCAAGAGCCTTTGATGCCCTGTTCCAAGATTTGAGGGGGGAGGGGGAGGCAGATGGAAAACTGAGCCCCTGAGAGCAGGGGATGTAGCTAGTTCCCAGGGATGCGAGAGCCTGATGCTCCCTGCTTATGGATTAACCAGTCCACTTCCTTCTCACAGCACTTCCACCCCTAGACAGGAAGACAGAGAAGGTGGAGTGCAAATCATGGCATCCCCAAAACACAAGTAGTGCTGGCAAAGGTTTTAAAAAAAAGGCAGGTAAAGCCATTGGTCAGGGTGAGAGCTTGAGTGTGACTACTCACAGACATTCCCTAATCACAGAGGTAGCCAGGACCATTTGGCTGCAGCAGCTGTCCCTAAAGATAGTATAGAAGAGGGAACAGACCTCAGAGCTTCTAAGGCCTAGCCTGGAGGGTGGCTTCATTGCACCCAACTGTTTATTGAAATAGTAGGTGCAGGGGCTGGAAACTCGGCTCAGTGGTTAGAAGCACTTGCTGCTCTTGCGGAGGACCCAGGTTTGGTTCTCAGAACCCACATGGTTCACAACTCTGTGTAACTCCAGTTACAGGGCACGTGATGCATACATGTGGTACACTCACATACATGCAGACGAAACACAAAACACACGAGTTAAAGAAAATATAAATGTAGGAAAAAGAAAATGAAAAGGCACGAAGTAAAGAAAGGGGTTAGTTTAAGCTCAAATGCAACCTGCTTCATTTCCACCTTTACCCTCCCAATCTCTGCTTTTTACAACATACGAGACCCCAAAGTTTAGTGGAGAAAATCTTGGCCTCACACCTTCCAGAGTTTTTCACACTACTCCCCTAAGCCTTCTGGTTTGTCTCCCTATTTTCTGTGACAGTCTTACTCTGTAGCCCAGGTGGGCTGGAACTCCCAGCAAGACAGGGCTGATATTTCAGGCCTGGAACAATGTGCCCACCTAAGTCTTATACTGCAGCTGCTCTGCTTTGCCTGACCCACTCTGGACTCTTGTTCAAAGTTTGGATACGGAAATACAATCCTAAGAACTGAAAAGCTAAATGTGTCATTAAAAAATAAAACTTCTTTTTGAAAGGACCAGCTGAGGGCAGCAAATTCCCCAGGAAATCTAATTTTCTTCTCACACCTCTTAAGCTATGGTTTCTTGTGGTCAGCCCACATTTCCCCAGGATGGAGTATGTGGTCAGAGTCTAGAGAGATGCCAAGTTTCTCTTAGGTTTTTACTCCATGCATTCTCACAGCCAAGGCCCTTGTGTTAACAGGGGAAGAGCCTGGGGATGGCACTCTGCAGAGCCAAAGGCTGCAGCCTGGCATGCTGCCAGGAGAGGGAGCCACATGCCCTTGCCCCTAGGAGACAGAGAAAAGAGGCTGTGCCTGGAGGGGAGCATGAGAATGGCTCCCCATTCTCAACAACCATGGGGTTTGTTCAGAGAATGGCTGTTTGAACAGCTGCACAGATGCTGAGAGAAAGTCCAGCCTTTCCCAGGCCGGCAACAGAGAGAACAGGAAGTACTCTGCCTTGTTACCCGAACAAATCGCTCTTAAGACTTTTCCCAGAGACTCTGGAAACTGAACCTGTTCCTCTCACCTCGGTCTGAACCGCTATCCTGCCTTCTGCTGAAGTTATGTCACCCAGTGTCACATTAATAGAGAGAATAAAGTCTCAAGAGGCCAGCTTACACCTCAGAGGTGTCTCCTGCCCCTGTACACCAAGCGCAAGCAGTCACTCACTTACACTCCATCACTTTTCACCAGGGGCTCCCAGGATTCCCTGCACTAAGCTTCTGACCCTCACCCCCTTGGTGCTGAGGAATCCCTGAGCAGAGCTGGGGTAACCTAGAGAGGAAGACTGCCAGCCTTTCCCTGTACTGAAAAAGCCAACAGGAATCACTTTCTAGGGAGCTTTGAAAACAGTTCAGTCGTTGGGGACCAGCAGGGCAATTAGAGGTTAGAAGAAAAATGTGTGTGGCAGATGGGACGTAAAGAACACTCAATCAAAAGCAGACCCGAGGCAACGGCTTCAGGCATTAGGAAGTTTTCACGTTTTCAAGCCCCAGATCCAGTTAAGTGGATATAGGACCTAACCCCGAGTGCCCAGAAACAAAGCCAGTCACCAAAGCAAGAAAAGCAGTCCCTTTCCCCCAGCTTCCTCACGAATCTCACCAGGGACACGTCATCCAGGATGAGCCCAAATGTGGCTGCTCTCTCTGTGAGGTCATCGCTCACCTGCCTGGAGACCAGCTCTCGCTGGGTAATCAGTTCCCCAGCATCGAAGCGAGCCTGGTAACGGGATGGACAGAAAGCCAGTTGGGTTACTGAGGAAGGAAAAGCAAGCAGCCTACTGACGGCTGGGACCTGCCTACCTACCACCCAGCCACGCTCTCCCTGACACCTAGCCACCCCTAGGGCTGCGCTCTGGGCTTGAGGGCCCTGTTCACTCACCACCACTGACTTGAGGATCTCTGTGGTGATAGATGGCAGCACCCGCTCGTCATAGTCCTCGCCGATGCTGGTGTAGATGCGAGGAAGCTGGCTGGCCACTGGCCGGAAGAGGATACGCAGTGTGATGTTGACGTTCTGCAAGTCTTAGGGTAGGAAACATACAGGAGTTAAACACAAAAACCGCAGGTGGACTTTCCTACCGTTAAGTCCATTATAAGCCATATACACAATTTCAGTTAGACCCCGAAGGAAAGAGGCGGCTAAGCTGGTTCCTCAGCAGAGAGCCCAGCAGAGCATCAGTACCACAGAATCAGGAACCAGTGATGGCACGGAGATGCACTAGCTTCTCAGCACCCCCTGAACAGCCTCTGATGAGAGCAGTTGACACCATGTGGCCACGGGAGCGTCTGAGGCCGTGAACACCTAAGAGAACACATAAGCTAATGCCAAGAATTCCAGAGTGAGCCTTTCCAAGGGCTGCTGTGCGCTCAGGTCAAGAGCCAGCCTTGGGTTACTCAGATCTGGTGCAAACAGAGTCCACTGACCTGGGCTGTGGTGCCCCTCTGCTGCTTAGTAATGATGTAGCCTGGTGAAGCCTTGGTCAAACTGGGCCTATCGGTCTGTGCGAATGGGGAGAAACCATGAAGACGGGGAAAGCAGAGAAAGCAGCCGGCTAGCAAAGCCACACTGGGCTTAAACCACCAGCACTGCTGGCCAAGAGCTGCCTGTGAGCTGGAGTCCTGACCCAGTCACCGAGAGAGGTGGGAAATTTCATGAATACACACAAGCCTTTGATCTCTGTTGTCGCCTGCCCCAAATTTTAGCAAGCGAAGGTACAAACACAATTTAGCACAACTTTGAGACTACTCAGAAGGGAAGCCCAAAGGTGGGAAGTTCAGATAAATCCAACCTCACTCTTCTCCATTAGTGACCCCCCCAACTCCTCTTTGCAGCAGGCAGGCTTCCTATCCTCCCCCGCCCCCCGCCCCGTCCTAACTTCTTACTCTTCAGGTTCTCCAGGTAAGCTCCAGATCTCTGAGCTCCACACACCCTTACCATCTTCTTTTTGTACTATTTTTATTTTGAGACAGGTTTTCTCTCTGCGGCCTTGGCTGTCCTTGAACTCACAGAGATCTGCCTGCCTCTGCCTCCTTGAATGCTGTGATTACAGGCTCACGCCACTGCGCCCTGGCTTCTCCTCTATTACAACTCAGGTCCTTAATAGCTAGCTCTCTCCTTGGTCATTTGTGTACCCCAGCATCAAGCTTGGCACAGCCCAAGGAGCAAGCGTCTGCAGAGAAATAGCCCTGAGGGTATCGGGTGCTGCTGACACACCAAGCCCACTGGATCCCTCTTTTTCCCACAGTTCCCTTTTCTGCCTGCACTCTGACAGGAGAGGGAAATGTGTGGCCCCGCCTGTGAGAAAGCATTCTGAGGTCTGCCCTGTTGGAGCTGAGACCATGGAAAGCAAGGCAAAGGGAAAGCTGTCAGCCGCAAGGGCAGACAAACATCCAAACACTGGTTTGGACATTCACTCTGGGGAACGAGAACTGATGGGAAGGGTCAACCAAGACAGGAAAGACACATTTAGATTTCCTCAAAGTCGGAACAGTATGTAACTTTTTCCCCTAAGATTTATTTTACTTTATGTGTACGAATGTTTTGTCTGCATGAAAGTATAAGGACCACGTGTGTGCTTGCTGGATCACCTGAAACTGGGCTGTGTTGCCACGTGGGTGCTGGGAATTGAACCCAGGTCCTCTGCAAGGGCAACAAAGTGATGTTAACCACTGAGCCATGACTCTAGCCCTCAATACGAAACTCTTAGGTTAATCCTTTGTATTTGTCTCTGAATTTATCCTGCCGCTTGTGTTTATCTGAAATATATTTCAGGCTTCAAATCCACACAAGTACCTCTCCTGGACAGCCACCCTATGAGTCTTTAAAACATTTTCTTAAATAACAATTTTTATTTACATATTCTATGTGTTTGTGAGCACATGGTGCCAGGAGCTACTTGCTGACCAACTCACCAGCCTGAAGTTTTTTTATTTTAAGTTAACCTTTTACATTTATGTATGTATGTATGTATGTATGTATGTATGTATGTATGTATGTATGTATGTATGTATGTATGTATTGCGTATTATGTGTGTGTAGAGGTCAAAGGGCAACTTGCAGGAATCAGTTCTCTTCTCCTGCCACATCAGCCCCAGGAACTGAACTCAGGCTGTCAGGCTTGACAGCAGGTATCTTTCTAGTCTTTAATTTAAGTTAGCATGCAAAGTTTATTACAACATTTCTCCTCCTTTCCTTCCATATTTTCTTTTTCCCTGAAACAGGGAGTTATATACAAGAGGTTAGCCTCAAACTCACTTTGCAGCCAAAGATGACCTTGAACTCCTGATCCTCCTGCCCTGCCTCCCAAGTGCTAGGATTACAGGCGTGCACCCCAACACACAGTTTGTGTAGTGCTGGGCCTAAATTCAGGGACTCCATACAAGGCAAGAGAGCTTACCAACCATACCTCCAGACACACATTATGGCATTTTTCTGTATATGAGTCATTTCGCCTGGTGTACCCTCCTCCAATGCCCCCTAGTACTCCTGGTCACTCCCATACTAAATATTCCCTCTCTTAGTTTTTTGAGACAGGGTCTCCCTGTGTAGCTCTGGCTGCCCTGAAACTTTCTCTGTAGACCAGGCTGGCCTAAAACTCATAGATCCACTTGCCTCTGCCTCCCAGAGTGTGGGGAATGAACTTGCACTGTAGACCAGGCTGGACTTGAACTCAAGAGATCTGCCTGCCTCTGTCTGTGCTGGGATTCAAGGCACGCACCATCACCTCCCAGCATAGAAATTCTTACGAGGTGAAGTCCAACCTCTTGTATCCTGGGTGTTTCTAGAATGAACACAGCAGCACAGCCCATCGCCACAGGCCAGACTCACCTTTGCTCCCAGTGATGACCGGCACGTTCCGTGGTCGAGAGCGGCAGTCGAAGATAATTGGTTTCTGTACCCAAGGGATGAGAAAGTGAGTCCCTTCCCCCACCACAATGTCCTGTACTCCACGGAATCGGTCAAAGATGACAGCTCTGTGCCCAGCATCCACTAGGAAGGAACAATATTGACAGGTCAGAAAAACTCTGCCACTCGTAGCACCAGCAGCCCTATCTTTGCAAGCTCCTTGCCTCTTTCTTTAAAACTTGTAGAAATTCTTCAGTGTGTGTGTGCTTGTGCACAAGCCTCGATGTTCACTCACGTGGAGGTCAGAGGACAATTCAGAAGCCAATCTCTCCAGGGGGTTCTGGGAATTAAACCCAGGCTGTAAGGCTTGACAGCATGTGCCTTTACCCACTTTGCCAATCCTTTCTTTTATTTTCAGAAATAATTTCTTATGACTGGGAGGGGACCCCATGCATGCCATTACACATGCCTGTTTGCTTCTTCTGCCTTTGCACAGGGTCTGGGGATAAAACTCAGGTCATCTGGCCTTTTTTGTTTTTCTTTTCTCCTTTCTTTTAATATTTGAAGAGTTTAGACCCTTGCCTTTTTCTCTCATTTATTAGGTTTCCTCTTTCTGCCCCGGGGACTTCAGTGACGGCTGCTCCTTGGCACTCTTTCTCCTTTAAAGAACTGGCAATTGAATTTCTGATTAACCATCCCACCCCACCCCCGAGTCCCACCAGCACAATTCCAGGAATCCCCTCCCAAGAGCTCTATAACTCAAGCGATCTTCCCCAGACGACATGTATATACTGGCTCCAGTTTAACCCGATGTTCCCAGAAGCAATGTCCCCACTATGGGAACCCTAAAATACAGATGTTTCCGCTGTGTTGTCTTTTTTTGAGACAGGGTCTCAGGATACAGTGCAGACTCGCCTGGAGCTCAGTCTCATCCCTTCTCTGCCAGCACTGGGAGTGGAAGGGGGGGCAGGGGAATCACTCTGCCCAGTATCCTTCTATGTTTTTTTTCCCCCCCAAGATAGGTTCTCAATACATAGCTCTGCCTGTCCGGAAACTCATTCTGTAGATCAGGCTGGCCACGGAGACTCTGCCTCCTGAGTCCTGGGTTTAAAGTTGTGCAACACCACCATATGGTTAGTTTTTTATTTTGTTTTGTTAAGATATATTTTTACTATATATAGCCCTGGGTATCTAGGAACTTACTATGTAGACCAAGCTAGACTTGAACTCAGAGATCTGCCTGCCTCTACCTCCCAAGTGCTGGGACTAAAGAGGCACACTGCCACTATGGCCAGCTTGCCCAGCATCTTTCTAATAGCTGTTTCTCTACCATTTGGAGGGGATGCAGAGATGTCCTGTGGACCCAAGAGAGAAATTTAAAGATGCTGGTAGTCTGGTTATCACTAGCCAAGTAGATCTCTCTCTCTTCCACCCTCCTCTGATTTTTTGAGACAAAGTTTCACTATGCAGCCCAGGCAGGCCTCATACCTCAGCCATATGTGCTGAGATTACAGTATGGTGGCCCCAGACCCTGGCTGAAGTAGCTAATTTCTATTGTTTCGTATTTGAATTCGGACTTGGCCTAAAAACTTTCACTCTGAAAATAATACTCATCAAAAAGTCATATAGCCAGGGGCAAGAGGCTCAGGAGTTCAAAGCCAGCCTGGGCTACAGGAGACACCGTCTTAAAAGACAAAACAAAACAAACAAACAAAAAAAACACAAATTGAAAAGCTGGATGTGGCTGAGTTGCTTAGTACTACATTTGAGCTGGGTACAGAAGCAGGCACCTTTTGTTCCAGCACTCGGGAGGCAGAGGCAAGTGGACCTGAGTTCCAGGCCAGTCAAGAGCTACATGGTAAGATTCTGTCTCAAAAAACAAAACAACAGCAAAAACCCACAAAACACCCAAGACAAATCCGTTGCTGTTTTGAAAGAATATCAAAGTTGGAGGGACTCTTAAGAGGAAAAACTAGGGCTGGAGAGATGGCTCAGAGGTTAAGAGCAGTGACTGCTCTTTCAGAGGACCCGAGTTCAATTCCCAGCACCCACATGGCAGCTCACAACTGTCTGTAATAACTCCTCATACAGACATACACACAGTCAAACACCGATGTACAAAAAAAAAAAAAAAAAAGAGGAAAAACTAGTCCAGTCCCACTGTTTGACAATGAGAAAGCTGAGGACTGAAAGGAGGGACTTGCCTATAATGATGTCAAAGAAAACGCAGCTTAAGCTCCGGGGCACAATTAATGCCCAGCAACACATCTCAAAAATTATGTTCTCTGCAACTAGCTGAGTAAAACCTTCTTTCTCAGGACCTTGTTTCTCAAGCTGGTCTAGAGATTTTGCCGAGTTATTTCATGCAGAAGAGAACCAAAGAAATCCTGCCACTCCACAGAGGCATCTGGGTAATACAGCATTACTTTAAACAACTATAGCACTAGAAACATCCAACCAGCAACTGGACAAGTTGAGAGCTCTAAGTTGTAGCTCTCAACCTGTGGGTCACGATCCCTTGGCAGGGGGGTTGGGAGGTACAGGGGTTATCCAAGACTATCAGAAAAGGCAGATATTTACATAACAATTCACAACAGTGGCAAAATTACAGTTATGAAGTAGCAATGAAAATAACTCTATGATTGGGGATCACCACAACATGAGAAACTGTCTCAATGCATTGGGAAGGTTGAGAACCACTGCCTAGGTCTGGAGAGATGGCTCAGAGGTTAAGAGCACTGGCTGCTCTTCCAGAGGTCCTGGGTCCAATTCCCAGCACCCACATGGTGGCTCACGACCATCTATAATGAGATCTGGTGCCCTGGGGTACAGGTGTACATGCAGACAGAACACTGTATACATAATAAATAAATAAATCTTAAAAAGAAAAAAAAAAAAAAAAAAAAAAGGAAGAGAACCACTGCCTACGTGAAGACAGGTCGTCTGCTAACATGCAACCATAGTTTGTGGGGTAGCTGCAGGTGAACCCCCTTAACCTCACACACCTTCCCACAGCAGCTGGCATCAGGAATACCAAATGGGCTACGCAGATCAATGGGAATCATTCAGAAAGCACTAACCCCCTCAGGGCCTCACCATTATATAAGGCAGAGTTCACCACGCCTCCTGCGACTGCTAAAGCCAGGCCGAACTTTCCGATGGACTCAAACACTTTGGCAGCCATGATCCTGTCCGTTGCATCCACTCACACCTAAACAAGGGGTTAAAAAAAAAAAAAAATAAGGCAACTTGGCATCCAGCTTCTCTAGCATTCACTTCTCACTCACTTCCTGGCTCCTGTGCGCTCTAACCCACTCACCAAACACCCCCATGATAACACTCAACATCTTACAAAGCGTGGTACCACGCTTGCTTCTGTAGGTGCTTTTCTTTAGAACCATTCAAAGAAAGAGTCTACGACGCTTGGCTCATCGTCGGAACGATGCTTGGTACCCAGGAAGCAACTAGCACCACAGAGAATCACACTCCCATTTCCTAGACACATAGGCCCCCAAGAGAGGGATGCTGAGAGGGTGATGCCAATAACAAAAAGCCTAACTCCTGTTAACATTTAGGTTAAGCAGTGGCCAACAGTTTTGTTTAACCTCCGGCTACTTTATGAAAGTTATTACCGGTGAGGTGCCCGGGGAGTAGTGGAACGAGGGTAGACTGGAGAGAGCGAGTTCTAGACGGCATTGTGGGGCTCCTCCCCCATATCTGTTAATAGGAAAGCGGGAGCTGGCAGGGGCGCAGTGAGGCAGAGCGGTGCAGGCCTGGAGGTGGGGCTGCGGCCGGGTGTGTGGGAGCACGGAGCTGACCGGACTGAGAAACCGTTCAGCCTTGAACTTTTTCAATGCCCCGCCCCTGCGTCGCCCTCCCTGCACTCTTCAAACCTTCCCTCCCCTCTCTCAGCCTTCCCCCGAGGGTCTAGCCCGTTTCCCCCACGCACATTCATCCTCCCGCCCTGACACGGAGACACCGCGTCCTTTCTAGCTGTCCTAGCTTCTAGATTTTTCTGGATTTTTCCTCAGCATGTCCCCTCCCCTTGCACAACTCCCAGCTCGATCTGGACTCAGCCTCTTCCCCCTTCTCCGCTGGGCGTCCCCACGCATGTATCCCATGCCCTCACCACACGCAGGAAAGCAAAGGAGGGCCACAGGGCCACAGAAACAAGAGGCCTGCGACGCCCCTAGCACGCTCACCTGCTTTCACTCTGACCTCCACATGAATTTCCCCAGCCTCACCTACTGCGCACGCGCCAGGCAGCTCCTCCCTTTCTCCCCACCCTCTTCAAGATCCGTCCCTTCAATTGGCGGAGCCCAGCGAAATGCATCCTGGGAAGTGTGGTTTGCAGTCTTCCTCGGGCTCTGTGGCTTTTCTGAAGTCGACTACAACTCCCAAAAGGTTATGCAGCAGCTGGCTTGTTCAGGAAACCTGTCTCTGTTTGGTGGTAACGGAAGGGATGTTGCCGCAAGGCCTCTCGGGGGTTGTAGTTCCTTGGTAATAAATGCACGTGCCTAGTCCGTAAGGAGGTAATTGCTGGGAGCGGAGCACAGGTCGGAAAGGAGTTGGGTTTCCACTTGGTGGCGGAAGTAACTGGGTGGTGAAAGCAGTGGGTGGGCATTTTGGAAAAAGGTGAGGTGAAGTAACTGATGGGCTGAGAGAGACTTCTAGGAAGCTAAGAACGGCCCTCAGGGACACTTGGATAGAGCCTCTTCGGAACCTTAAAAACGGCTTAGAAAGAAGAGGGAGAGAGTCATTCAGGCCTTGCCATACTCCTGCAAAAGGGCTAGATTTAGGGTTCAAGGGTCTAAGTCCCTGGGCACTCTTTTTTTTTTTTTTTTTTTTTTTTGAGACAGGGTTTCTCTGTGTAACCTTAGCTGTCCTGGAACTCGCTGTGTCTACCAGGCTGGCCTTGAATTCAAGAGATCCACCTTCCTCTGCCTCTTAAGTGCTGGGATTACAGCATGCGCCACCACTGCCCAGCAGAATTATTATTATTATTTTTTTTTTCGAGACAGGATTTTGCTGTGTAGCCGTGGTTGCCCTGGAACTCGCTGTGTAGACCAGGCTGGCCTAGAATTTATAGAGATCGGCCTGCCTGTGCTTCCCAAGCGCAGGGATTGAAGGCGTACACCACCGCCGCCCTCCCCAACTTTTTTAAAGTTTCTTATTTGAGAAGTTGCAAGGATGGGATTGAGAATTTGTGTATCGTTTCTCAGATTCACCTGTTCTCAACAATATCCGTATTTGCTGTTGTTTCTGTTGTACCCTCTCCTCGACTCTCCACCTTCTTCTTCCTACTACAATTTTTTTCTCTCTTACTACTCTTCCTAAGAACAGGACATCCTCTTACTTAAGTAAATATAATCCATGTCTGCGTTCCAGTTTTGCCAATTCCAATTTTGTCAAGCACATAGTGACTTTTATAGCATTCCTTGCCACGATTCGATTAAGTAAAAAAGTGAAGTACTGTGTTTATTCTTTTGGACATGTTACGCCGGAAATACAAACTCTTCAGAGAGGATGTGCATACACACACCTAGAAAAAGACATGAAAACAAGCCAGGTGTGGTAGTGCACACCTTCAATCCTATCGCTCAGGAGGCAGGCCCATCTCTGTGTTTGAGGCCAGCTTGGTCAACATCTTTGCAAGTTCCAAGACAGCCAGAGCTACCCAGAAAGACCCCTAGCTTAAAAGAAGAAAAGAAAACAAACAAACAAAAACACAGAGAGACTATGTAGACTGCTGGAAGGTGGGAGAAAGGACTGGGGAGGGTAATAAGGAGGTGAATATAAGCAACATACTTAAAAATGAATAAAAAAAATACATTTCATCAGAAAAAATGAAAGTGTGGATGATGTTATATAGCTCAAATGGATAAGAAACAATATGCAAAGAGCATATTAACAATTAAATTATTATTGTCTCAATAAACAAACCACAGAATTTAAACGTAGTGGTTCTAAGGGCTGTTGGTTTCACAAAGGAAGAGAGGAGCACCACAAATGAGGTTGCTGAGGCCTATGCCTGCTGGTGTGCTAGGTTTGAGTAGTTTCGTGAAGGGTACAAGCAAACAATTGGAGGATGTGGGAACTTTGTGTGGAAGGTTTGGGCTGCTGTGTCCCGCCCCGCGGGACTTAGTTATTCGTGGGGGCGAAGGGGTCAATCCTGAAAAAGATGGGGGAGAGAGAGAAAGGACACAAGCAGACGGTTGCCGGTCAAGTGTCTCCTTTATTGAACTTTGGTGTTTCTTTTAAAACGTGGTTTTGGCAGGGCGGGGGAGAGGGGCGAGAAAGGGGAGTAATAGTGGAAAAATACCAAGGCCCTTGGTGGGAAGTTCTCAAGGCTAAGAAGGTGGGTTAAAGAGTTACAAGGCCCGAAGATAACATCGGTGGTCACATCGGTGGTCACGGATGTGTCCCAAAGCAAACAGTTTTGGGAACAATGGGTTGTAAGAAGCTATGGCCTGCTGGCGCCCAGTGCTTTTCTGGCAGGTCAGGCCCTTAGGAAGGGTCCCAGGGCTATGTTCCCAACACTGCTGCAGCAGCAGTAACTTGGACTCAGCTATCTTAAGCAATAAGGAAAGGGGAAGGAATTAAGTCTGGGGGAGCGTTGCTGAGAGTGGTTCAGTCAGTGGCTCGCATACTGTTAATTTTCTAATTGCTGCGACAAGATCCCTGACAAGAGCTACGCTACGTAAGGGAGGAAGGGTCTGTTTTGGCTCAGTTTGAAGGCACAGTCCATTGGGCCGGAAGTAAGGCCATTGGGGTGGCGCGAGTGAGGCATCTGTCTTTGCATCGGCGGGAAGGAAACAGATCAACATTGGCGCCCCACACGCTTTCTCCTCTTTACTTAGTCCAAGACACAGCCTAGGGGTAATGCCATCCGCACTCAGCATAGGTCTTCTTAGTTAAACCTCTCTGGAAACTCTCATAGACACAGCCGGAGGTGTGTTTCTGTGATGATTCTAGATCCAGGCTAGCTGACAGTGAAAACTTACCATCACACCCATCAGTCTCCCAGAGGATGGCATTCTCCATTGTCGGTCTTGACACCTATTGGTGATGAGTCTTGTTCTTATGCGTGACTCCTTGAGGTCGCACAAGATGCTATAGGGGGTCGGAGCCTAATCTTCTCATACTAAAGCCAGAAGGCAGGAACAGGGCACGCCATATTTGGGGGTCTTTTTTTTACAAGACTGAAAGAAGGTTTCTCAGATATGTCAACAAAACATCCACTTCTGTTATGGCCCAGAACTGGGTCCCTGACCATTTCTAGGCCAATTACTGGCTAAAGGAAACCGCAGATGTATTTGGGACCCAAGGACTCATGAGGCAAATGCTGGCAAGAGGCCTTGTGTGTGTATGTTAGGTAGCTGGCCTACCATAGTGGAGCTATTTCCCTACAGTGCAAGTTTGGTCCACTGAAGAAGACGAAGATGACCAGAGTGGAATGGGTGGGAAAGTGACCCCCAGGGCCAACCGCAAATACCAGTTATTGCAGGCTTGGCTGGAAATCTTTGCTTTATTTTAAGTGTATTGAGGAGTCCTGGAATTTTTTTTTTAATTATTTTTATTTTGTGTGCATTGGTGTTTTGCCTGCATGTACGTCTGTGTGAGGGTGTCAGATCCTGGAGTTACAGATAGTTGTGAGCTGCCGTATGGGTGCTGGAAATTGAGCCCAGGTCCTCTGGAAGAGCAGTCAGTGCTCTTAACTGCTCAGCCATCTCTCCAGCCCTAAGTCCTAGAATGCTTTGAAATACCAGAGTGGGTGATTCTTTTAGGGGAAAACAGTGGATCCAAGAGAAAATGTATGAATGCAACACTTGGAATTTCTCAGCAAAAGGACCTGGCAAATCACCCTACCTCAGTGATTCTTGGAATTTTTTAAGTCTTCTAAATTAAAGTTTGTTGTTGTTGAGACATGGTTCCTCTGTGTAGCCTTGGCTGTTCTGGATTGGCTTTGTAGACCAGGCTGGCCTTGAACTCACAGAGATCTGCCTGCCTCTGCCTCCCTGAATGCTGGGATTACAGGAGTGCACCACTGCCCCTGGGTCTAAATTTAAAAATTTTCAAACGTTTATTTTATTTTCGTGTGTGTGTGTGTGTGTGTGTGTGTATGTGTACATGCACATACGTACAAGGGTACTTGCAGAGGCCGGAAGACATCAGCTCTGTTGGAGCGAGCATTACATGTATTGTGACCCCTCTGATGTTCGTGCTGGGAACTATACTCTGTCCTGACGGCAGCAAACGCTTTTAACTACTGAGCCATCTCTCTAGCCCTTAATTTTTATTTTTGACAGTGCTAAGACCCGACCCCAGAACCCCACGCATGCTAGGCAAGCACTCTATCACCGAGTTACAACTCCGGCTATTCTTGAACTTTTTTTTTTTTTTTTTAAATACTACACTGGTCTATTTTTAAAGCTATCAAGTTCCCCAAAGAGTTTAAAAATATGAACTCCACACACACTCAAAATAAAAATGAGAAATTTAATACTTTGAATCAATTTAAAAATAACAAGCGTGGCCAGGTGTTGTACATACAGCTAATCCCAGGACCCAGGCTGAGGCATGAGGGGCGTGAGTTGGAGGCCAGTCTGGGCTACAAGGTCAACATCCTGGCCCAGAAAACAAACGGCAGGACATGGTGGGGCACACACCCTGAGCCCCAGCGTAAAGGAGGCACAAACAGGTAGGTCTTTATGAGATCAAGGCTGCCCTGGTTTAGATAACGAGTTCCAGGCCAGCCAAGACCACATAGCAAGAACGTGTCTCAAACAGAACAACAAAACATCAAATAACTTATGAAAAATAACTTATGAAAACTTACAGTTCCTCAAAGTGGCTTGTTGAGGAGAGTGGCGCTGTTTCGCATATTTTGCTAATCGCGATCCTTCATCTAATCTGCGGGGCTATCAGAAGTCAAGTGGCCTCCGGAAGATTCAGGAGAGCAGCAGCGAGCTAGGCGTGCTGGCACATGCCACCAGGGAACATAACCGAACCTCTCAACTTAGGAGAGTCATGAATTCAAGGCCTGTTTGAACGACATAGTGAGAGTCTGTTTAAACAAACAAACAAACAAACAAACGAAAAACCAAAACAAATAAAATGCACAATAAAAGGAGATAGAGAGATGGCCAGGAATGGTCAGTCATTAAAACAAGCCTGAGGATCTGAGTTTGGTCCCATATAGAATGTCCGCTGCATGAGCCCAGCGCTGACGAGCTGGACACAGGAGAATTCTGGGGCTCACT